TAGAAAATAATGCAATAGAAAAATTGAGAATTAAAATTTAAGGTATAAATAGCTTGAACATATGTGAAAATAATATTTATTAATGAACGAGTAATTCACAAGAAATGAAATTCCATNAAACTAATGTTTGAAATAATATTTATTTTATCAGGAAATGCTATTTTCTGCAACAGCAGTCAGACATTCTTTTATCATCTCTCCATCCGCAAAGGGTTTCATTTTTTTTGCCAGTATTTGACTGACAACAAAACTAGCCTTTACTGCCGTATTTGATAAAATAGCTTGATTTTTAAAAACAGCCTTTTGTTTTCCAAAGTTTTTCTCCATTTGATTAAACTTATCTATCCGGAGTTGTTCTGTTACGTTTTTATATTGTTGTTCATGTTTTGTAACGTAATGCCTTTTTATGTTATATTCTTTTAATGTCGACACAGTCTCTGAGCATATTAAGCATACAGCTTTTTCTTTGACGAAAGTGAAAAAATAATCAAATTTCCACTTTTCTTGGAAATGCCTGTGCTCATCCGCAACCTTCCGTTTTTTTTTTTTTTTTTTTTTTTTTTGCTTTTTAATAGATTTAAATTGAATTGTCAAAATTTTCATTTCTAGAAAATAATGCAATAGAATAATTGAGAATTAAAATTTAAGGTATAAATAGCTTGAACATATGTGAAAATAATATTTATTAATGAACGAGTAATTCACAAGAAATGAAATTCCATAAACAAATTTCAATCGATCAAATAAAAACCAAACAAATCATGAAATAAAAAAATTTCGATAAAATAAACGGATTACTGTATTTATTGAACATGTCTTTGCGAAATTGTTGAATTACACACATATTAATGAATTTCTAACATAGAAATATATTAAATGAAATAAATAATGACTGACATGCTGACGGATCTTTTCTGGACATTTACTACACACATGGTGTGTATATTATCCAGAAAATATCTTTAGTCAGCATATTAATTAGCATTTGTTTATAGGGAGGAGCTATTTCATCATATAATATGATAAAATCATATACTAAGTCAGAATGATTGTAAAATGTAATGAAATGTGTGTAGACAATCTATCGAGTTATCAATTGGCATATAGTGTTAGAATACAATGAGGGGGCTATAAAGCTTATAAAGCTCATAGGTAGGAATCATTTTTTGGAGGGTATTCGCTTTCAGAAACATTAAAATTACTGTTAACTTAAGTTTAGCATTTCAATTAGCATTTTTCATTACGCCCTACGTTTGGAACCCTATTTGATTAGCTCGCTTACATTTAGAGCTGCCAATAATTACAATTATACCTTAAAAATTGGAATTCTGATAGGATCATAAATAACAATAATAATAAATAGTACATAAAAATCTTGAAGGCAAAAATCTGTTTACTGCTTTATATTGAAAGAGTAAGGCTTAGTAACGATTTTACTCGTTATTAGCATTTACAATTTTTTTACAAAACTCATTCCTACCCTCAAAATTAAGCTTTTTGCCATTTTATAATAGTTAAAAATATAAAAAGGTTTTAAAAAAAATATAATAACAGATGGCGCCACCAAAATTTTAAATGTTGCCGGGAAAGTTGAGTAATTCGTTGTTGGTTTAGCCTGTTTTGCTTTACGTTGTTTGTTTCCACAAAGAACATAAGACATTTGAGAGCAATGAAATTATGTCATTTGTAAAAACCGATGCAATAAAATGATTTATGTCTCTTTCCCTGTTCTAATGCAGATCGATTTCGCTTCTCTGAATTAAAGTTTATTATTTACTGAACTTCTTTATTACCGTTAGGATAATCCAGAAGCGGACAATCGCCCCGCGAACGTGTGTGATCCGGCCCTACTATCTTTATCAAATTATGCATAAAAAAGGGAATATGTTAAATTACATTTCGTCTTTCTTAATAAAATAGATTATAAATACTAATATGTATAAATATTATAATAAATAGCATAAAACAGTTTATGACAATTTCGTCATTAAATGCCATTTTAATAATCTTAAAAATAATTCTATAAACATGAAATAGTAAAAATAATTTTGCCTGCCATTTAAAGTTTGCTCACTCCTGAAATAATTACTTTACCATTCATAAATTATTGATAGAAAACATCTAGAAGCAAATAACTTAGTATCATTCCAAATTAAGTCTGCATTATTGTTCTAAACGTTTATTTATGTATTTTTCTTTGATATTTTTTTTATTTTTGCTGTAAGTATTATTTAAACAAATTTTCTTGTAGCTATTCTTAAAAGTTTCGAGCATATTTTCATTATTTTTTATTTAATGATTTTTATATTTCTTGAACAATTTTGAAAGCATTAATTTCTAACAATTTTCAAAAACTTGATTTGCAAAAACGAATATAGCACGATTAATGAAAAATCCAGAAACTATTTTTTAATTTTAAATTAGCAAACTCATGATGCTTTCAATGAAACGAAACATTTCATTCTAAAGTAATATGCTATGTTATTGCTAATGATATCGATACATACATATAATTTATGTTGTCATTCATAATATAGCCCATATATATCTTTGTATGACTATATATATATCTAAGTTGACTTAACATAAGTCGACTTAGATTTTCTGTATCATACTTTATTAGAAGCATATTTTTCAAAAAATATAATTCTAAGTTTTTCTTATATACATTCTTATATTCTTATATATATAAGTTTTTCTTATATGATACATTTTTGAAGAATCCAATTAAAAAATTGCAAATAATAATAATAATATAATAAAAGAAAAATACAGCATTATTTTAAATCGTGATACTGTATAAATAATCTAATCATAAAATTGTTCTCAAAATTTGAAGACAATTGCTCTTGCAATTTGAAATTAGGATAGGGGCACCGCTAACTGGGCGCCGGATATCTGGAAGACAAAATAAGGGATGAATAATAGACAAAATACAAAATTTTTTATTGTTTTCTTTATTAAAATTACTATTCTTTTCTATTGATCTACTACTCGGTAAATTTAAATAATTTTTTAAGAAGCGAGTTAAACAAGTTAAAAAAAAAGATTTTGTAATTAACAAACATATTTAGGCTATACGTTACATTATTTATTTATTTATTTTTACAAGTAAATAGAAAAGTCTCGAGGATCAGTTGATATCTACTCCCAACATTAACAAATATACATAAAGACAAAGACAACAATTACGTAAAATTAAAAATACATTACATTATACATTAAAACAGTAAAGTATAAAAGTTCTTCGAAAGAATTTGTTTTCGAAGAACCACTTTTTTTTGATGCGCTTTGTTAACCGCTTCTGTCGAAATAACTAACCGTTGTCCAGTTGTCATGTACCCCCATTATGGCCTACTAAACTTGGACTATTATTTTGACCACTCCAATTTTTACTAAGCTAACATTTAGAGTCAATATGACAGTTTAGTCATTTCTTGGGAGAAAAATAGAGTTGGCCAAAATATAATTCAAACTTGGTGGGCCATAATGAGGCCCACCAACCTTACACGTTATTTATATCAGGTGATACCAAATTTAGAATTTCTCATAATTAATTTTGTTACAGTTATACATATATATATATATATATATATATACAGTATATATTTTTTACTTTTTTGCCATTAAAGAATATTTTTAATCTTATGAAGCAATTCAACGATTAACGATGCTTAGAAATATTATTAGAAATACAATTAGAACTTTACAGTTTTATAGCTCTTATTTAGCATCAATAAATAAATTCGAGTTTACAAACAAATATTTTGGTAATTTTAAATATCTTTTCAGTTTAATTTAAAGTTTATGTATAATTAATAAATGTAAAAATAAACACAAACAGAAATTAAAATAGGTAGATCGATAACCACTGCTTATGAGCTGCATACGATTCCTTAAATATGCTTCAAATGGTTTCTTACGATGATGATTTAAATAAAAAGTGTTTAATAAAAATATTGTGTCTAAAATAACTAAGTTTTTTATATTGTATTAAATCGTATAAACCTTATTGTAGCCATAGGTCTAATCCACCAACCGATAATAAAAAAAATGGTAAAAAAGTTTTATTAGTATCATCGTTCGAATTAACTATTTGGAAGAAAAATATAATGCGATTCTTCGAAAACTTCTGCTTTATTTATAANTTTTTCCCATCTTTATTATTTTAAATTCTATACATAAGTTTGAACAAAAGTGTTTAATGTTTTGATTATATTGAAAGCTTGGGAATATTAAAAAAAACATACTAAACAATATTGTATATATACATATATATGTGTGTATATATACACATATAATATTTCTCTTTGTTATAATTTAAATTCTTGAATTATTACTGTTATACGATCGTTATTAAACAATACTTTTTCATGTATAAACCATCTGCTACTAACTTCCTGTTACAACGAAGAAAGTTATTCAATTTCATCAATAAATTCAAACATATTTATCACCATTCGTAAAATATAAAATGTCAACACAAATAAATTTTACATTATCAATGTAACAAAAATAGTAACACAGTGTATATACGTAATTTCATTTTTTAAACAAGTAATTGCGTGAAATAGTAAAATTTATTATCTTTTCAGCTTAATTTGAATTAAAATAACAGTCAAATTTATAAATTTGTTAATAAAAAAAAATAGAGGTAAAATTAAAAAGTTGATGATAATTTAATTTTAGTTAATTTTTTCAGAATTTATATACTGTTATATTATAATGAAACTTAAAACTATTATAGACGGCAAAACGGAAGAAAAAAGTGTTTTGTAAGAAACAGTGTGATAACATTCACTTTGTAAAGGAAACAACACCTAACTCGACCGGTATTTATGCTTGGTTAGAAATTGGGATGATTGCCCAGGAACTAACAACGATGAAGTAGGGGAGTAAAGGAAGTATCGCATATAATTACTTCTACATTTAATTATATAAATAGTATAGAATGGTTATATTTTCACCATAAAAATAATATGTGTTTACTAGAAGAAAATGTGAAAAACAGGACACGGGAAAGAAATCTTTACAATAGAAGTGCTTAACCACGCCTCTGTCACGTGTTATGACGTCAACTCCGGAAGGTTCACTTGTATCCTAACGAGAGCAGAGCGCGTATACTCCGGTTACGGTTTTGTCACAGAAAGTGCGGGAACTAAAACAAATGAAAATATGGCACCCGAAGGAGGAACTCCGGCAGAAATGGAAAAATTGAATTATGATTCCAAAGGAAAGGGTAGCGGAATCCATCTGAAGAAAGAACTAGGAGTGTTGAATGGAGTGGCAATTATTGTTGGAATAATTGTTGGTTCAGGCATATTTGTATCACCCAGAGGAGTATTGAACGAAAGTGGATCTATAGGTTTGGCACTTCTAATATGGGTTCTCTGTGGTGTGTTGTGTATGCTAGGTGCCTTATGCTACGCCGAACTCGGTACCTCTATACCAAAATCGGGAGGAGATTATGCTTATATATATGAAGCGTTTGGCCCAATATTTTCGTTTTTATTCCTATGGGTAGCTATGTTAATAATCATGCCGACGGGTAATGCCATCGCTGCCTTAACTTTCGCGAATTATATCTTGGAACCTTTTTTTCCGTCCTGCAACCCTCCTGCCAATGCAGTTAGATTAATAGCAGCACTTGTTGTAAGTTAGTATTCAGATTTTGTTGTTAACATTTTTATTAAATAGTTTAATAATAAGTTAAGCTTATATTCTTAGCAAGTAGTTAAATAATAAGTTTATATTTTTTTTTTATTAATTAAAAACAAATCGAGGAATGAAACTAACATAAATCGGTTTTATAACATGTGTAAGATCTGAAATCGATTTATTTGTTTAAAATCTACCTTTTGTGACGTCTTGAAATAGGTTAACACCAAGAATAATTGAATCGATATTATCAATATTTTTCTTCTTTTATTTGGATTTTCCGATTCTTTTCATTAATTTAATTTCTAATTTATAAAATATAAATAATATGTGTAATGTATTAAAAAATGAATTCTAATTATAGCCTGTATTTCATTTTATTTAGTTATCCATATGGAAATAATATCGGTAATCAAAATATTAAAAAATAATAATTTTGTAATTTTATAAATTATTTAATAATCTGTTAGGCAGAAATTCTATTTATCTAGTTATCAAAGTTAATTAGACTGGTATTGATATTAGAAAATCTTCCAATATGTAATTATTCAATAGGCCTATTTTCAAAAACCACGTGTACGCTGCCATGCTGGATCGTTACTTCATACTATTGTTTGTGAATGCAAATGTTGCTGCATTGAGAAATGAATAATCTGACAAATAAATTTTCTACGATTTCCAAATACTCATTTTTATTGTGCTTAAATGAATATTTATTTTAAAAGACCGTGTTAAAAAAATAATTAGTTATGATTGTTACTGGTTTTATTAACAAACCAGTTATAGAGAATATTAAATTATTATTTTATTTTAATTAACATTCTTCATGTAAAACATGTTATTTAAATGTTACATTAAGGATAACTAAGAAAATATTAATATGCTAAAAATATTTGAAAACTAAGCAAACTAAATCATTTTATTAAATTTTAAAACAAATTTAAAATGAATAATAAATTTATAGTATAATTGATACAATTGTTCTGAAGCCGAATTGTGAGATTAATACCTTGTGAGGGAGATAAATAATCTCTCACACAAAGGAGATAAATGAACTGTAGTATAAAGTAGATTTTCACAAATATGAGCATTTGAAGAGGATTAAAAAAAAGTTACAAAAATATCCAGTGTAAAAGAAATTTTACACTGTGTATAAGTGTAAAATTAATATAAAAATATATTTACTGTCATATAATTGAATCTCATCATTATGACTATATAAATTAATTTTTATTTGTGAATGATTTATTTGTATTATTTCTGTCATTCAAATAGTATTGTGTATTCAAATTGAACATGAAAGTAAACGGTTAATCAGTAGAGATTAATGTAATCCACTGATTAATCATCCATGCTTATATTTGATGACAAAAATAATTCCGTTTATAACATCTTAGATAATTCGCTTTCTGGTTAAATTAAGTATCATAATAATGTTAGAGAGAAGTCAGTTGCAATTATTTGATTCTTCTTGAATTTAGTTTGACTGGTATATTTTTGTACACATTTTAAAATAAAGTAAAATTAATTTTATCTTATTTTCATATGAAAATTATATAAAAAAAAATTAGATCCATTTGATTAATAAATTATGATTATAATTATATTTCTAGTAATATATAGTCATTCTAAATAATCATTAATACAAATGACTTAGATATTTGTATTTTATTTGTTATTTCCAAAAAACTGTTTAAAACCAAACAGTTATCATGTAAATACATAGTCATGTTTATTAATGATACTTCAATATAAAGTAGAAGGTTGAAATTTAATTGCTCAATGTTAAGAAAGAAGTTTGATAAAAATTTTATCAAATTTTATTCTATTCATAAATGATAAATAAGTTTATAACTATTGGAGTATACGCAAGCTTATATATCTGAAAGCATTGAATAGAAATCAAATGACAATATATGTTTAAATATTGTATTATAATGCTCTCGTACTTTGATAAACAGAACCATTCACAATTGATTAAGAATTGATAACGTCTAGTAGATTTTATAAAAGTATTAAATAGTAACACCTTGACATAATAATCAGCAAGTATATTTTATTTTAATGAAATAATTATGTGACAAGTCATTAATTAAATTTCATTTTATTTCTTAATGAATTTTTTTAATAACTATATTTAATAATTTTAAACACTTATAATAAATATCTTGTAAAAACAAAACACCTTGACGATTCACAATGATGACTGTTTTTGCCTTAATTTGTCATATATTCTTTTTAGCTGCTCTTTATACAAATATACTGTTTTGGTTTTACCAATATTTAAGTATTTATGATGAACAATACTCCTTGAAGTTCACCAAACACAAAGAAGGATTTTTTTCAGAGTCATTGTTTGTTTTGGCATAGGATCATTTTGTAATAACAATGATAACCATATTTGTATTTATAGTGTAAAATCCATTTTTTATCAGTGGTCAAAATTTGATCTAAGAAATTCTCAGTTTCAAACACAAAAGAAGCAATATGCAAATATTTAGATGCTGTAATTTGTTCTCAGTCTTTCTCCCTTTGGGACCCACAATATGAAAAAATACATTTTTTATTTTTTTAATCCAACCAAGCATTTATTCTATATACAAATACATTGAAAAGTTCGGTCAATTTTTTATTTCAAAAATATATCATTTTAATCATTTGTTATAAGGTGGTTACAAGGTGTGAGAGGAACCCATTTACTTAATTTCCATTTCTTTCCTAATATATGCAGATGAAGTCTGATTCTTTCATCATTTACTTGAAGCTCTTCATTAAGCATCTGACTTATTAAATGTGAATTTGTTTTTATTATTGTCTTTAATTTGTCTATCTAAAGTTAATGGTCTTCCTGGCCTAGCTTCATCTTCTAAGGACTCATCTCCTGAAGCAAACTTTTTAAACCATCTTTGAGCAGTTCTTGACATTATTGTATCTTCCTCAAACACAGTATAGGTTTTTCTAGAAGTCTTTGCAGCATTAGTTCCAAATTTAAATTCGTAAAGTAAACTTACAAATAACATTATTTGGCACAGACATTTTGAAAGGTTGAAATATTTTTATAAGTTCATGTTAACATCCCATCAACTAATGAATGAATAAAAATATAAATTTTGTTATGCAGTTAACCAACAGTTAAAATAAGACATCCTCTGAAATTAAGACCTAGCAGAGGTTTTGCTTAGTCATAATGCATATAAATGATTACCCAAACTATGACTTATTTGAAAATGATATTATTTACTTCGTTATGTGATATATCATGCCAATCTACATGCTTCAAGAGTTTAATTTTCTTATAATAATTTTAATAAAAAATTTTGCCTAAATAAAATTGAATTTTTTACTTTCATTTGAAAAATGTTTATTGAAGAAAATAAACTGTGGGTTGTTTAGAACTTTTATTGATAAAAATTGCATATATTGTTATGAAAATAAATGAAATTTAAACAATAATTACTTATATTATTTCCTTAGTGTGTTTTCTTAATAAAATAATATCTTATTATGTAAAATTAATGTTATCTTATTAATTAATTTATGTTAAATTATTCTAATAATTTTTTTGTTTTTCAGATTTATGGATTAAATTTTTAAATTAAAATAGATAATGAATAATTTTTTGAAAATTATTTGATGGATATAACTTTTAATTATCATCATACAATGCTATTTGCATATTCTATAATTTAAATTATTTTTAAGATTTTCTTTCTATATAGTTTTTCTTAATTGAAAGATTATTGAAATATTTATAAAGTAATTGAAAAATTAAATAAAATATTAATCTTAAAAAGATATCAAGAACTCCTTAAATCAAAAAGAGATCTTCCATCTTGTCTTTTATTCTGCTTTCTCAACATTTTACTGTACTTTGTGATTTTAGATTTTGGCCTATTATTAATTTCTCTATTTATTAATTCAAAAGTGCATTAAGTAAGTAAAAGAAAAAGTGATGATAAAACATTAAAGTGAGTTTTTATTTGTTTTATAAATGATAAAATAATAGATTCAGACTAAGTAAGTACAATGGGATGATAGCAAATCTTGTAATAATGAGCTTTTCAAAGTAAAGAACTTTTTACTGTGTTTCCCCGAAAATAAGACATCCTCTGAAAATAAGACCTAGCAGAGGTTTTGCTGAATTGCTAAATATAAGGCCTCCCCCCAAAAGTAAGACCTAACAAAGTTTTTTTACTTGTAATGGTCATTGACAGATGGTTGAAAGTGGCCGACCAATTTTTTGCCATTGGTTTTTTGAAAGTACAGCCACTGATTGGTCAGCAGACATCCATGCCACACGGCATGATTTGCATAAAACTATGGCTTGGGAATCACAGATTTGCATAACATTACGGCTGGTGATCGTTAATTGGTCAGCCAGGAAACATGCCACATCACATTTGCATAGTGCTACAGTTCAGTAAGCACTAATTGGTCATCGAGCCCGATGTCAACGCTATAAAAGGTTAAGTTGAAGTGAGAGTGGGAAGGCCACTCCAGCACGGGAACTTCATAAGTTCATTTCGGTTCGTGACTTCAGTTTTATTTAAGTTCAGTTCGACACAACTGGATATATGTCACTTTCGTCGAAGTTCGACTTGGGAAGCTTTTTTTGTTCAACAATAAATGTGAATTTTTCTTCGTGGAAAAATAAGACATCTCCTGAAAATAAGACCTAGCGCATCTTTGAGAGCAAAAATTAATATAAGACACTGTCTTATTTTTGGGGAAACAGGTTAGTTTTCCCTGACCAAATCTAGAAAGCTATGACAAGATCTTTCAGTTGTACAAAACTATTTTTAATGAATTTTCAGTGTAACATTCCTTTTCTTTCAGTTTTGCAGCAAAAGAATTCCTGCAGTTTTCACCCACTATAACAGACGCATGCAATCCATGGAAGCTGTGGAAGTGCTGCTTCCCTTATATTTTTTAAAATATAAATACATATTGTGCAATTATTTTCACATTTAATGTACTTTGAATTACAGTCGACCCCCGTATAAGATCATTGATTATTCCGTTTTATATGAATTCCATGTTGTACGAGTCACTTAAATTTTACAAATACGTGAGCCGTTCACAGCCCGGTACATGTATTTGTAAAATCTAAGTGACTCGTACAACATGGAATTCATATAAAACAGAATAATCAATGATCTTATAGGGGGGTCGACTGTACTTAAAATTAATATTTTATTATAACCGCATTATGCATTTTATTACAAATTTATATACATATGAAAAACAATGATAAGATTGCTATTGTATATTCAAATATAAATTTGTATATGCATATTCCCAATGGAGGTGCTGTATTGTTGAATATGGGGTAGCTTCCACAGCAAAAATTTGAATCGTGTAAAGCAGCCAGATTACAGGCATTTGGGCATGTACTTTACAGAGCACCAACCTCTAGTGGTTTAGCTGGTGGATGCTACACACCAAAATATTGTATAACACTTCCAATGATTCCATACATTAGCCACTTGTAGGAAGCTATTTGACTAAGTGCATTGTTTTAAGATTTAAAAAGTAAAGAAAATTTTATGTTATTTTTATGTATGTTTCTTTACAAAGCTATATTTAATTATAATTCTATTGACAGATTTTCAGACAAAATCTTTAGAATTTTTATCACTTTTAGATGTTAATAATTTTAAATATTATGAAAAACAATTTTTCAAAGTGAGTTTAATTGTTTAAGTAAATTTTATGAAGAATTTTTTGATTTATCTAAATTACATAGTGAATTGCAATATTTACATTCATGTCCAGACTATATTGGCAAGTCACTCTTAGACATAATATTATAATTAATGACAATCTAATCTAAGATGTACTTAAAGAATTATATGATTTAATATCATTAACTTTTATGGAACCATTTACGAGTGAGTCTGTTGTGTGCAGTTTTTTAACCATGAAGCAAATTCATACATTTGCAAGGAACATTCAGAGGAAAGATTGTCGTCACTAGTGTTGCTTTCAGTAAAAAAGAACTTTTAAATACTTGGGAATCAACAACTAGCAATTTTTATGATAAAGTAATTAACAACTTTGCGGAAAAAATTGCCGAATAGTTTCTAAAAAATAATAATAATATAATGTAACTCCATTACTTGACTTCTGTACACGTTTTTCATGAAGTCAAACAACTTAATGTATTACATCCAAAATTTGAGGACTCCCATATATACATATAAAATAATTTTGTATTTTTAATTTAGGGAATAAAATTTTTGAAACATTTCTCAACATAAAAGATTCAGTGTTTATAACAATTATGACTAAAATATTAAATTTATTAATATGTATTAAACTATGGTGTTAAATTAATTTATAATTTTTATTTTTTAGGTTTTCTAACTTTTATCAATTGCTACAATGTCAAATGGGCTACAAAAGTTCAAGTTGGCTTTACTTTTGCCAAAATCATTGCTCTTGTTGTAATTATTTTTACTGGAATGATTCATTTGGCTCAAGGTAGGAAATTATCCCAAATAATAATTCTGTTAAAAGTGAACTTTTTTTGTACTGTTAAAAATATTTATTTGATTTATTCATTTATTTGACAGGATTATTAATAAAATTATTTGTTAAATTTGATAATTTGCTTTTATTTGTTAATAATAATAGTTAATATAGTGAAACCTTTTAAGATGACCACCTCTTTAGGTGACTAAATTTAACAGAAATTTTGTTCTGCAGGACTCATTGTTTTTAATCCTTCTTAAGCCAACCATCACTTTACTTGACCAATGATCACCCAGACTCATAATCCCTTTGTGTGAAATGAAGTTACCAGTTTTTATTACACATGCTCATGGTTTCTATTTTATCATCCTGGACAGGATGATAAAATAGACACCATGAGCATGTATAATATACAATGTTGGTCATGTAACCTTATTACCTTAGGTATAAAAATTCATGTTAATTTTTTTTTCCAACTTCAATGCCTTTATTTTCTCCTATTTGGTCCTGTTAAGGAGAATATACATAACTGTTTTAATAGCTTCAAGAAGCTAGCTAATGCTTTATTCTTTTCTATTTAATCTTAAAGTAAACATTTAAGACTATGCATTACATTCTCATGTACAGTACACAGAATTACATGTGATGTGTTAATAAATGAATTTTTCTTAAAGCATAGTGTTAATGAATACAAAGAAATTTTAAAATAGTTTTTTCTATATTGTCTTCACAGTAGTCTATGTGATGTTACACTAGAGGTCCACCAGGGTGGCTAAACTTTGTCATGATGAAACTGTACATCATCTAACAGAAATACATGAGGGCTCTATTCTTTATTAGAACAATATTTTATATAACAGGAGTGTGTAGACCAGCGCTGTTCAACTTATCATAGCCCGCGGGCCATATTTTCTTCACCAAACATTTCGGGGGCCAAGAAGGTTGATAAATGAAAAGTCAGTTTATGTTAATTAAAAAAATATTTTATTTATACTAAAAAGAAAACTTTAAAATATTCGTAATATATTAATGAGAACATTGTGGCCGTAATTTTCACATAGTAAAATAATTTTAATATTAATAATAATAATTTAGTAACATAAATTTATTCATAGTAAAATGTACTCGCGGGCCGTAAAAATTATTTGGCCCGCGGGCCACCAGTTGGACAGCCCTGGTGTAGACTCTTGTAAGATCAGGAATACCACTAATAAATTCCAAGTCACCTAATGACTAAAACCAAAACACCAATCTTGATAATAGTAATTACAATAATTACAAATAATATATTTATTAAAACATTCAATGCTTCAAAAACTGGTTGTATGGAATGAAAACACACACACAAATACAGCCAAAAAATTGTTAGAAATAGATGAAAACATTTGTATCAGTAAATATTTTAAATTCTTTTATTGGTTTTGGGTGTATTTGTGTGTATTTTCAATGTATTTCATATTAGAAAATATTAAAATACAAAAAACAGTCAACGTAAAATATTATTTTAATGTAAAATCATGTAAATTTATGCTGTGATCAAAGACTTACACTGCATACTCTCCACTAATTTTGATTATCTCAGAATATAATTGCTAGCCACTACTCTTACACAAGATTCTAATTCTTGTCTGTGAGACAGGAATTTGTCAGAAATAGTTTGATATAATTATATTCGTATTCAAAAATGTAGATTCACATGGATAGGTAGAATCAAAAACCAATGTTAAATAAAATGTAATCTTTTTTTTAAATTGGGATACTTTTCTTTGTCTACTAGATTTCAAAAGTGATTGTTAGATTCTGAACTGTGTTTCTTTAAAATGATGTCATTTTGAAGCAGAACTTTGTTTTTATTCTAGTCACACCTTTCACATCAACACTGATTGTCGATTGGGTAACAAATGAAAGTAAAAATTGGTTCTTATCTGGTAAATTCTTGAAAACGTTTGATATGTAGAGTGAAGAATTAATATTTCATTATAATATTTATCTTTTTAATATTCTTCCATTATTTGACAATTCATTAGAAATGCTTAAAAAAATTTTTTAGTTCATTCTTCATCAGCTGGGAAGATATCAGCTTTAACTTGCTTTTGAAAGTTTGAACATAGCCAATTGTTTCAGCTATTATTTTGTGGCTTTCTTGTAATTGTAAGTTTAATTTGATAAAATGCTTATTTATGTCAACAATGAAAGCTAAATCCATCAAAAAAATGTCACTAAGTTCATTGTACACTTTTGATTTTAAAAAATTTTCATCTCTTGTAATAGATCCCTGAATCTTTGTAAAAATATGCTCTAAATTAACTAATGAACATCTGCATGATATAACAATTCTTCATATTCAGATTTGTTTTCTTCTAGTTGAGCTCAAAACATTCTTCTCTGCAGACTGTTTCCTTGAATGAAGTTTACAATTTTCATGTAGATTAAAACAACCACTTCACACCTAAGTGATAATTCCAGCAAATGAACAATAAAAAAGTTTAATGCTCAAACGTTTTCGGCCGTCTTTCAGAGGCCCTCGTCAGGAAAAATTGCATAGAACAGAAAAACAGCTTTATCTTTTTAACTGTTTTCGAACATAGCTGTGTAAGATACGGTGGCAGTCGTAGCAAGAATAGGCTGTGTCATTTTATGCTCTCGATTTGAATCGCAATTTTGGAGGGAATTTTGGATACACACTTACATCAGACACATCGTTCGAAAGAGCTAAGTGAGGTGGTTCGTATACCATTTAAAATTTCGGCTAGGACAATTAGGGGAGGAGCTAGGGGGATTTGAAATTCGCGTTTTTAGGATAGATCTAATGGGTGGGGTATAAATCAGAGGGGGACGGAAATTAGGGGTTTTATTTAGCTTATTGTCTATATCTGGTATAAATTTGGGGTTGCTAGGTTTATTTTTTGGGGAGATATTCCGGTTTAAAGTTTCATAATTGTTAGCTACAGATAAATTTAAACATAACGGTTTAACTGTCAACAGATTTTAACGGTCGCTTCTGTTTTAAAGGTTTCTTTAACGGTTGTTTATTCTCATAACGGTCGTTTTAAATTTATGTTTTTTTTAGATGGACACTATTTCATTCACCTCAGAGTAGGGGTGACAGTTTTTAGGAGGGATTAATTTTAAATTTATTCTAATTTTAGTTAAAACTTCTAATTTTAGTTAAAATTTAGTTAAATTTGGGTTTAACTTTAATTTATCGCTTATTTAACTTAATTTAATTGGCTACTTGGGATATTTTTATAGTATAATCTTTTTAATATAATTATATACTGTAATTAATTTAATTTAACATACGTTTATTNTTATTTAACTTAATTTAATTGGCTACTTGGGATATTTTTATAGTATAATCTTTTTAATATAATTATATACTGTAATTAATTTAATTTAACATACGTTTATTTTGTGGGTTTTGTTGGTAAAACTTCTTCTTAAGGTTTAGTATTGTATTTCACTTTCGAGGAGTATTTGAGATCTAGTTTAAGTATTTCCATAGTTATAATTATTGTTTTATTGATTCGGTATTCATTGATGTTGGGTGTGTTTTGATTACCTTATTGGGTTTATTATGGATACCACCATGGAAGAAACAAGGATATTAAGAAATTTAATGGCAAAGGGCACACAACCGAGGATTTCCGATGAAACTTAGTTAATGATACATCACCCTGTACAATTCAGAGTAAAATCCTTAAAGATGCAAGAACTCAAATGAGACGTATTCTAGATCTCTTACCTGAATCGTGTCATAGAAACATTAAAACAAGAGAACGCAAAGAAATTAAGGACAAGGTGACGCAGCTTTTTGCGTCGGTGCATCAAATGTACGGAATTGTAACAGCATATCGTCTAGAAAGAGAGGAACAAAACAATATACTTCCTAACTTATTAGAAACAATGAATGAAATAAAGATCAAGAACTCTCAACCCAACCAATTTGCTGGGCACCTTACTTACGCTGAAGTAACAAAATCCAACTTGAAACCAAGCAATACGACGAAAACCATTAATAACAATGGTGAACAAGGAGGCAATAGCGCTGTACTGGTGTACCCAAGTGATGAAGAAGAAGGTGCGCGAACAGACATAAAAGAGATCACAGAGCAGATTTTTGATAAAATTCAGCCACACAAAATAAGGGTTAAAATCAAAGAAGTTAAATTAATAAGAGACAATGGTGTGTGCATAAGGGTCGGGAGTGAAGAAGATGGGAAGAAACTAAAAGAGGAAATAGGAAAGATTCAAGAAATAAAAGACAAGATTAAATGTAGAACATCGGGAGGCAAATGACCAAGGGTAATATTACTAAACGTCCCTCAGTGTATCCCTGAAGAGGAGATAATAGAAGTAATGACCAGACAAAATGACATTTGGAGGGGTCTGGAAAAAGATAACATAGAAGAAAAATGTACCATTAACACAATTATCAAAGGAAAGAAAACAAAGGAGAACTGTCATCACGTTGTAATCTCTGTAACTCCGAGCATAAGAAATATACTGATAGCTCACAAGACAATATCGATGGCTTGGACCACAATAAGAGTAGATGACTTTGTACCAGTGAGACGCTGCTACAGATGTTGTGGTTTCGGACATATGGCACGTGATTGTACCGAGCAGCAGAGGTGTAGTCACTGCTCAAGAGGTCATCGCTTCAAAGAATGTCAATTAACAAACACCATCCCATCTTGTCATAATTGCAAATTAATTAACAGGAACCTCCCGCCGGAAAAGAAACTACCGACGAATCACAACGCATTCAGTGCTGAATGCCCAGTGCTAATAAAACTGAAAACACAGATCATAAAAAGAATTGACTATGGAATATAGAAACAAACAAATAATCACTCGGTTACCCAAAGGCACTACTATGCAAAGAAATAAACAAAATAGTAACGACAATGCTTCTGATAATTCAACTCTGTCAATCAATAGTAACTACGATGTAAACTCTTCACATCTGTGTATTTTATAGATAAATATGCAACGCAGTAAAGCGG